ATACCCAAACGCGCGCACACACACACACACACACACACACACACACACACACACACACACACACACACTCATATATATACATATATATATATTAAGATATGTATATATATATATATATATATATATATATATATATATATATATATATATATATATATATATATATATATAAATATATATATATATATATATATATATATATATATATATATATATATATATATATATATATATATATATATATATATACGTATATATATATATATATATATATATATATATATGCATATATATATAGTCAATATGTATGCATCATATAAACATTATAATATAATGTATAAATCATGTATATATAAATAATTATACATCAAATTAATTGAAACAACACAGTATCTAGGTGTCAACATAAGTAATAATCTTATCAATTATTTAAAATTTAACAAAACAACACAGGAACAACAAAATATATACAATTTATTTACTCATTTACCTATTTCTAAAGCAAAGATATTACAAATCTTAGCATATATATATATATATATATATATATATATATATATATATATATATATATATATATATATATATATATATATATATATATATATATATATAAATATATATATATATATATATATATATATATATAACACAGACACACAAAATATTATTACTATTCTATAAAACACAAAGTGAAGTGAAAAGTCTTGGTGCAATTTTGATGTCTTTTGTTAAAATTCCCTCATTATACTTGTAACTAAGTTACACTTAATAACTAAACTCAATTTTTTTTTCTTTAAATATTGTATCGATTATAGTTTATAGATCATAGAGTATAGAATATAGAAAATTAAAAAAAAATATCTTTAAACGATAAATAACTAAACAAAATTAATAATCTCAAAATAATCAACCAAAACAAGTAGACATATTTAATTAACCGAGTTAGCGCATAATATTGTATGCGCCAAGTTGATAATATTAATTTTTATACTTATTTTTAAGGTAATTAGGACGTCTAATGTAGGTCTTAGCGACGTCAATAGGACGTCTAAATATGGAAGTCCTAATATCGTCTTTATATTAACGTCACAAGGTCGTCCTAACAAAGACGTCTTTACCGGACGTCTTTAGGACGTCCTAATTTGGTCTGAGACGTCGGGACCTAGTTAAGACGTCCGTAAGACGTTTGGTTGACGTCTGTGCCCGCTGGGTAAGTACTAACATAGGAAAAAGCTTCTTTTCATAGGAAAGTAAGTACTAACATAGGAAAAAGCTTCTTAACCTTAGTCAACAAACACTTCCCAATAAATCACAAGTTCCACAAAATCTTCAACAGAAACACCATAAAAGTAAGCTATAGCTGTATGCCGAACATGAAATCTATCCTAAATGCACACAATCGACAAATTATGAATAGCAAAAAAGATCCACCTAAAACCAATTGCAACTGCCTTAATAAAAACACCTGCCCTCTATCAAACCAATGCTTAACAAAAAACATTGTATACCAAGCTAAAATAAGTTCAACTAATCCTACTACCACTACTGCCAACAAACTATACATCGGTATAAGCGAAACACCATTCAAAATTAGATATGCCAACCATATAAAATCATTTAACATTCTAAAATACAAAAATGACACTGAACTATCAAAAGAATTTTGGAAACTGAAAGATGCAAATTTAAATCCAGTTATTAAATGGAAAATAATTAAGCAGTGCAATGCTTACAACCCAACCACGAAGTCTTGCAAACTGTGTATAAATGAAAAATTTCAAATTCTGTTTTCCAAAAATAAAAATCTACTAAACAAAAAAAGTGAAATGATATCAAAGTGCAGGCATCGAAACAAGTTTCTTCTCGCCCATTTCGACACGGCCGATTAAACAATTTTCTAATTAAAAATTTGTTTTGACGTCAGAACTCATTCTATTGCTTTATTATTGCTTTTTCTGTTAATTTTGTATTTTGAATTATTTAACGGTTTTTTCTTGATTTAAAAAGAATAATATGGCTGATGATTGCCGAAGGGCATGAAACTTCAAGTACCATCACAAAGTTGTATTTTTTCAAATAATCAAACTCTATTATTATTATTATTATTATTGATCTATTTTGTAAACACTTACATTATATTGATCACTCTTAAAAAAACAAAAGACTTTTGTATCTTAATTTGGTACAATAAAACAACAATATATATATATATATATATATATATATATATATATATATATATATATATATATATATATATATATATATATATATATATATATATCTATATCTATATATATATATATATATATATATATATATATATATATATATATATATATATATATATATATATATATACATATATATATACTCATATAGTGTCGCTTTAAGAGCATTTTAATGTAAAAAAAGTCTCTTACGACTACAATTTTAATTACTCGTCTCTTAAGCTGTTTTTGATTGTCGTCGAAATGTCAAAGCAATTAATTTATGC